ATCTTCTGTAATATTATAAATGTCACCTTTGATCAATGTAATGTGTCCTTGCTGAATAAAAGTATTATTTTCTTTAAAAATACATACTGACCCCAGACTTTTTGAATAGAGCATGTTCAATGATTTTAAATCAAATATTTAAATCATATCTGCCCTAGTGAACAATAAATATGCTAAAATGTATTTGAAATACATTTATTTAAAGGGGTCATATGATGCGATTTCAAGTTTTCCTTTCTCTTTGGAGTGTTACAAGCTGATTGTGCAAAGTATACTAAAAGTACATTTATGTATATATATATGTTTTGTATACTAAACTGGTAGACTGCTAAATTGGAACAACTAATTTTGTGCTTAATGCACTTTAATTGTGCGGAAGTAGTGCTGAAGATTAACTAAAGATATACTTAAGTATATTTGATTGTGCTTAAGTGGAGCTATTGCAAGTAAACTTTAGGTACACTTTAAATATCTTGCATTTAAAGATCGATATTATTCAAAGATCATATAATCCTCATCAATAGTGACATTAAAGCACATTTTAGGTTCAGTATTAAGAGATGTGATTTGTGTGAGTTTAATTATGATTTGTATATCAGTAAGTCTCGAGCAATAGGTCAGTAAATAGATTTGATCTATATTTGAAATAAATTAATTTAATATGTTACTTTTTTACCAGGGTGAATATGCTAAATGACTGTTTTTGCGTGTTGCCAGGTGCATTTGTGTGAAGCAGAAGGCATGCAAGATTTCATGGATGAGGACTTCTCCTTCGATGTCATTGAAAACCAAACAGTGCTTGTAGCTGTTAAAATGCTTCGAGCGGATGCAAATAAAAACGCTAGGTTTGCAAGCCCAAATGTCACAGTCATGACTTCCATAAATTAAAGTACAACACTGTCACTGCATCCTAATGAACATGCATGCTGTTGCTTTAATATTCATTAATTTCCATTCTTGGATTTTTATACTTTACAGGAATGATTTCTTGAAGGAGATAAAGATCATGTCACGATTGAAAGACCCCAACATCATCAGGCTGCTGGCGGTGTGTATGAGCTCTGACCCTCTGTGTATGATCACAGAGTACATGGAGAACGGAGACCTTAATCAGTTCCTGTCTCGCCATGAGCCAGAGGGCATGATTGCTCTCCTCAGCAATGCTCCCATAGTCAGGTAGATGCCAAACGTTTTCAAACATTACAGTGGTGGACTGTGACTCTAAATCCCTAAGAATTAAGATGGACTCATTATTATCATTATTACGAACACAAACAGAAATCTGATGAATCAACAAGCAACATGTTATTGCTAAACTGAATTGTTAGGTCATGTTCTTAAGCACACCAGGTTATGCCTCACATTCTGCTTTAACTGTTTCAGTTACAGTAACCTACACCACATGGCCTCACAGATTGCTTCAGGCATGAAGTATCTATCATCACTCAACTTTGTGCATCGAGACTTGGCCACACGCAACTGCTTAGTAGGAAAGAACTACACCATCAAGATCGCAGACTTCGGGATGAGTAGGAACCTGTATAGCGGAGACTACTACCGTATCCAGGGTAGAGCTGTGCTGCCCATCCGCTGGATGTCCTGGGAGAGCATTCTTCTGGTCAGACACATTCACAACCTAAAGAAATTATACATTATACTCTGAAAAGTCTCTTAGAAGAATACTTTTTGTATTTTTGGGCTTCAAATGAATCTCTAGTGATCTTTCTGTGTGTACAAACAGATTCTATGTCTATAAAAGTCTGACACATGATGATTTTTGTCCTTACAGGGGAAATTCACCACATCCAGTGATGTGTGGGCTTTTGGCGTAACCCTTTGGGAGATGCTTACCTTCTGCAAAGAGCAGCCTTACTCACAGCTGTCAGATGAGCAGGTCATAGAAAACACAGGAGAGTTCTTTCGGGATCAAAGGAGACAGGTACAAGTATATCTGCTTATCTGCTTTTGTGTAGAGGTGGATGGATGATTAAACTGATCTTATTTATCCATACATTTATCCATTAAGGTTCTGTATTGACATCTATGGTTTTAACTTTTAACATCCATTGAACCTTTTCATTGCACTTAAGATTCTTCATAGTCAAAAACGTTTGTTTGGTTTGCTCTTCACACTAAGAGATATAACTGTTCTTTTAACCCTCCTGTTGTGTTTAAAACCTTGGTAGAACTTTTGTGTTGGGGTCAAATTGATCCACATTGGTGCAATTTACTGAAAATCAACACTATGGAAAATACAAATGAAAAGCACAGGATTGATGTAAAAACAGAAAACCTCTATTGTAGCTTTTTAGAGACTAAAACAATCAAATATGTGAGACATATAATAATTAACCAATGTGTTTGGTGTTAGTTTGACCCATATATTGTTACATTCAAAATTAACTGCACAGACACAAAATTAAAAAAGAAAGAAAGAAAATAATTTTAACATTTAATGCTGTTTGTATTTACTTTGTCTGGGGGAACCCAAAATGGTTCTTTTATGGCATCATGACAAAAACCCCCTTTTAGAATCTCTTTTTTTTTTTTTTAAAGAGTGTACCACTTCTTATTCTCAGATATACCTGCCTCAGCCACCAATGTGTCCTGACCCTATCTACAAGCTCATGTTGAGCTGCTGGAACAGGAATACCAAAGAGCGTCCATCCTTCCAGGAGATTCATCACACGTTACTGGATTGCAAGCCGTAGTGTCCACTTATGTGCCAGCCTTGGCACTTCCAGAGACATTTCAGTGCGCCCACAGGACTCCAGTCAACTGTACACCGTAACACATACTTATATGTTTCCATATATAAGTGAGATCAGAATCTATCATTTTTCTGTAGCAATTTTCACTGTGAGTGTGCAAAGGCAAACTGATATACAGTATATTGTAAGATTGAACTACACCCCGTAACTAAGTGCCTTCAGCTGGCTTACAATACCTGGGCAGCACTAGGACAAAGAAAATGTAGCAATGAATTTAGGCACCTTTATCATAGAATAATTGGATTTTACACACTGTGTATTTTCTCCAAATAACTCTAAATATTCTAAAATAGCCATTAGAATATTTTTTAATAGAAAGAGGAAATGGCAAAAAACAAGGTATCGGCTACTAATGCGCCTTTTATTATTTCCAATTTAATGTTGTTTTCAGTATTTTGAGGCCGAAGACAGCTTGACTGTAAATAAGAATCATTAATTGACATTCAGTGTCTCTTGACGTTTGTGTATATTTTCATCTCATTTATCGAAAAAAATGCTAAAGTATTTTATTATTTTACATATATTTTTTTTCTTTGTAGTAAACTGCAAAGACCACTTGCACTCAAGTGGATTAACAGAAAGCCAATTTATCTGGTTGTCACAGAATTTCAAAATTCAAAATCATAAAAATTCTATTAAAATTGTACATGTAAAAATATATATTAGTGTTATCCTGCAACTACCTATATATTGTGTTTATATTTAAGCGTACTGCATTATATAAGTGTTTTGCTTTTCTTGTTTTCTTGTCTAAAAAATCTTGATAGGGTGATAATGGTTATCATTTAAGTCCATTTCATTTGTGCGCTTTTATTTTTTCTTTGCTCAAAACAACTTTTGCATTTCAGCATAATGAGCTATGAATAGCCATAATTCTTTTACAGAAGTGTCTTACAATATTTGCATGAAGTTGGATGAAATCAGATATAGTTATATTACCGAATGCTAATTTCACATTTTCATTGCATTTGTCCTATATTTTCATCTAATCTCAAATTAGGCCAAATGGGGTAGTAAGTACATTTGTTATTACCAGCTAATTTAGTTTATCTGTAAAAAAATATTAAAATAAGCTTATTTTAAAGCTGTTTGTCTTACTTTTATATCAGAGTATATTCTAGGTGGTGCTGAATTGCTATAGTTTGGGATAAATACTGGATTTGTATTGAACAGATGCACTGTGATGGTTTACAGTAAGTTATGATATGTTTTGGCATGTGAAAAGTGCTGCAAATGGGACACTCAGAAATCTGTTTTGTAATTAACTTGTATACATGTAAATCATTTTTGTAAGGTCATTGTATATGACCATATTTTAAAAAATGTGTGCACCTTTTGGGGTTGGTTGAGATATCTGCCAGTCTAGAATACGTGTTTTGGTTGTGGGTTTGAAAGTCATTTATCTTTGTGTATAGATTAATTTTAGCATTCTTGACATGACTGATGAAGTTGCATTATAGATATGCTTTAATTCTGCACTGCTTAAATGTTTTATCAACAAGTCTATGAAATGTTCTTCCTTCAAACCATAACCACATGAAACAGTAATAGCCCTTTCTGAGGCTTTGAGTTTGTTTACAAAAACATTCCACTTTATAAAACAGATTTGTGAGGAGAGGAACAATTAACATTTTTCATATTCTCTATATTGACAACATCTTATCACAATGCATGGAAAAGCTGTTGTTGTTGTTTTTTTTATTCATAGCCAAATTTCCTTTAGCTGATGCTTATTCTTTCCAATCTAAGCTTTGTACTGTATTTTTTATCAGCAGTCCTCTAACAATTTTTCTCTAACAACCTATTGTATATGTTAGGAAACTGTACATAAGATAATAAATTGATGAACCTTTAAACTTGTTGTCTAGCCATTTTATAATAATAAAAGCACGGATTTCATACTTTAACAGTAATAAAACCTGTATTTGTATATGAGTGAATTTGACATTTGTGTACAGCCTTGAATGTATCAAGACATTCATTTTAACATCGTTTGTACTCAAATGTTTGCTTTTTAAATCGTTCGTTTCGTGCATTGGTTACCTGTCACATAAATATGATTTTAACATAACATATTTTCTGCTCTTGCATTTCTTTGGATTCCGATGATTGGTTGGCCTGGTCTGACAGTGGCCAAGTCTGGATTGGTCAGGGTAGATATCACGTCACAGAAAGGAAACATCTGATTGGCCGATAGAAGTGTGACCTCCAATCACACCATGGCGGCTGTGCAAACTCCATCCATACAGACACTGGTGAAATACCACGTTAGAAACGGTTAGGAAGGCGAAGTACAGTATCACAGATAGCATAGTCATATACTGTATGAATGAAAAGATAGGATGAAGAAAGTAGTGTTGGTAACCGGTGCAAACAGGTAACGAAACTGTTAGTATAATTGTTTTCTTTGTAGTTTCACATCACTGTTTTAAATGTCATTCTGTTATTATTGTAGTGACAACTTTTAGGTTATTTTTTAATGATGCTATTTTAAAATAACAAAGAAACAGAAAGGAAGAAATTAGGAATATTTTGTTTATAAAGTGTATTATTCTACATTTGTTCTATTCTGCATATATAACCAGTAGTTGAGAAAACATGGTGCATAATGTCTCTTTTTCTCTGCATGTTAATGTTCACTCCATATAACCCTGTTTGCATACATGTGTATGTTCACTCCATATGAACCTGTTTACATGCATGTGCTTATTGTGCGTTCAGTGGTATTGGCCTTGCTCTGTGTGAGCGTCTATTAAGCCAGGACGCCCAGCTGCAGCTCTGTCTGGCCTGCAGGAACATGCAGAGAGCTGAGGCTGCCCGACAGGCTCTTCTAGTGTCTCACCCTCAAGCTCAGGTTACTCTGCTGCACTTGGATGTGGGCAACATGCGCTCTGTGCTCAGTGCTGCTGAGGAGTTCAAGCAGAAGTAAGACATCCCAGTCCCTGTTTGCCAAAATACACTATCATTTTGATAGACTTAATGCTTTTCATGCAGTTTTGTGACCAGGGGGATGTCAGGCTCTAAAAAGCTCCATAATAGTAATCCATCGACTCATCCACTATATTCCAAGTCTTGTCAAGTCGTCTCATAGTTTTATGTGAGGAACAGACTCAAATTTAAGTTGCACTGCACTGTAGTTTTGAAATCTAATTTGTGCTTATTAAAATTTAGTACACTACAATTAGTAAGCATGAATCAATGCTGTCTGAACTGTTTGGGTACTTTTAAATTCCCTTGCATACATTTAAGCAAAATTAAGCAGATTAGGTGTCACTTAGGAGCACATTTGAAGCCTCCAGTCTGATTAAAGTATAACATTAAATAAATGATATAATATAACGGTAAATAAACTTTAAAGCGTTATTTAACTTAAACTTGTTTAAAACGTATTTTTTTCCCTCAACAGGTACAACAGATTGGACTATTTGTATCTCAATGCTGGTATCATGCCTAATCCCAGGGTAGATCACAAAGCCTTTTATAAAGGCCTGTTTTCTAGGTACAGTATTTCTTTCTTTAACACTGCCGTTTCAAATTTTTGGGTCAGTAATTTATTTATTTTTATTAATAATTTTATTCAGCAAGAATGGATTAAATTAATTAAAAGTGACAGTAAAGACATTATTAGTAGTAGTAGTAGTAGTAGTATGTTTTATGTTTTCAACATTAATAATAATAATAAAAATTAATTTTTCTTGAGCACAAAATCAGCATATTAGAATGATTTCTGAAGGATCATGTAACACTGAAGACTGGAGTAATGGCTGCTGAAAATTCAGCTTTGCCAATAAATTACATTTTAAAATATTCTGAAACAGAAAATATAATTTTAAATTGTAATAATATATCACAATATGATGTATGGTGGCCATAAGAGACCAAAGACTTCAGATAAAATTTTTTAAAAATCTTATTGTCCCCAAATTTTTGAACAGTGGTTCATAGTTTCTAAATATATTCTATAAAGCAAGGTTGTGCTCCAACATTACATTCCTCAACTGTAAATCTGATATTACTGTCATATTATTTACTACACTTGAACATAATAATACAATACAGTACATAACCTGTGCATACTATAAAACAATTATTTTATACATATAATACTCGCATAACCAGATTAACCAAAAATTTGCTTATAATGCATTCGTCATGCATCAGCCAGTGATTCAGTATTATACTTTTCATAGCATTAATTGTTGCATACTGTATATACTTCTTATAAGTTAGTGTAGTTATTATTATATATGCACGTGTGTGTGTGTATATATATATATATATATAAAATAAGAAAAAAATATTCAAACTCAGACTCATTAGCCTTGGCTCTTTTTCTGTGAAGAGCTTATATCAGAACAAATTTTGAATGACCACACACTACACAATGACCCCCCCTACACATTTATATTACATGCAGGATGTTCAGGTCCACTGGACACGGGGATAATAAAAGTGTGGAAATTTTAAGTCCTGTGAACCTTCACTCTGTCCTCCTACTGCAGTGTTTCTCAACCCTGGTCCTGGGCGCGCCCCCAGCACTGCACATTTTGTGTGTCTCCCTAATCAAACACACCTGATTCAACTCATTAGCTCATTAAAAGAAACTCCAGGACCTGAAATGGGTGTCAGATACGGGAGACATATAAAATGTGCAGTGTTGGGGGGCACTCAGGACCAGGGTTGAGAAACACTGTACTACTGTCTGGGCCTGTTGTTAGTATGTGTGTGTGTATCTGTGAGAGAGAGTGTGAGAATAAGTGTGAGTTTTGTGTTTCTGGCCTTGCCGTTCCTGCACAAGGTTGTAGAACTTGAATTCATAAATGTGATCTAACAAAGGTAAAGGGCAAATATTAACCATATATGCTGTTTATATTGCTTGTAATTGGGATGAAGTATAGATCTGTGGAGTATATTATCAAAATTGTTTGATTGTGTTGAATTAAAAACCCCAAAATGCAACTGGCCCACCAGACCCACAAACACTGGCTGAATAATTCATTGTTATATTTTTCTTCCCATCAGTAATGTGGTTCGCATGTTTGCCACGGGGGAGGGTCTTCTGACCCAGGAAGATAAGGTCACACCCAATGGTTTGCAGGAGGTGTTTGCCACTAATCTTTTTGGTCATTTCCTTCTGGTAAGTTGATGGATTAGAAATGAGTGTGTTTCTATGACCATACATAAAAATAAAACATTTTCTACGTTATTTCCATAGGAGCATAGCTGCGGTAGAACACTTGACTTTTTTCTGTCTTTTCCATGCAACGCTATCAAACAAGTCATCTTCCTCTAAAAGATCTCCCGGAACAATATTTCAGCCATAAATGCCACAGGATTCATGTCACTGTTGTTAACAACTTGTTCCCTGGCAGCTATCCCAATCAATAATTCATCTGAACGTCTCTAGTGCTGAAGTTATTTTGAGTCCTCAAATTGCAGCCCTGTGCTTCTTTGTGAAGTGTTGCTGTTTGCTAATTGAAGAGCTCATTCATTTGCTCTAAAGCATCTGGTCATCAGTGCTGGAAGTCGGGCAGCAGCGTTCTTTCCTCGTGCTGCTTTATACAGATGTGTTATTGTGGCTCAAGTGGCTCAGACATAAAAGTTGCAGTAGATATGACACTCCTAGTCCTCGAAGGCCAGACGAGACATATCAATTTTCTGCTGGGACGGCACCGAGGGAGGAGTGAGGCTTGTATTTCTTGTCAAGTTGACCTCTGGTTCTCTCTCATCCCACACACTGAAATTCTTTTTGATTATTTGTGTATATATATATATATATATATACACACACTACCATTCAAAAGTTTGGGAAAAGTTTGAGTTTTTTTTATATTTTTTACCAAAGTTTCTTGTGCTCATCAAGGCTGTACTTATTTGATCAAATATACAGAAAAAAAACTTATTTTGTGAAATATTATTGCAATTTAAAATAACAGTTTCTATTTCAATATACTTTAAAATATAATTTATTATTGCTTCATATTTTTTTTGGAAACTGTGATACTTTTTTCAGGATTCTTTTATGAATATAAAATAAAAAACAGCATTTATTCAAAATGGAAATTGAATAAATGTTCCAATATACACTACCGTTCAAAAGTTTGGAGTCAGTAAATTTTTTTTTTCTTTCTTTTTTTGAAAGTAATGAATACTTTTATTCAGCAAGGGTGTGTTAAATGGATAAAAAGTGATAGTAAAGACTCATATTGTTAGAAAATATTTTAATTTTAAATAAATGCTGTTCTTTTTAACTTTTTATTCATAAAAGAATCCAGAAAAAAGTATCAGTTTTCAACAAAAAAAAACATGAAGCAGCACAACTGTTTCTAACACTGATAATAAATCAGCATATTAGAATGATTTCTTAAGGAAATCGTGTGACACTGAAGACTGGAGTAATGATGCTGAAAATTCAGCTTTGATCACAGAAATAAATTATATTTTAAAGTATATTAAAACCGAAAACCAATATTAGACATTGAAATAATATCACACAATATTGTATACTGTACAATACTGTATTTTTGATCAAATAAATACAGCCTTGATGAGCACAAGAGACTCCATTAAAAAACGTACTGATCCCAAACTTTTATATATATATATATATACAGTGCCGTGAAAAGGTTTTTGCCCCCTTCCTGTTTTTTTTTATTTTTTGCATATTTGTCACACTTTAAAGATTCAAATCATCAAACTAATTTTAATATTACACAAAGATAGTGCAAGTAAATACAAAATGCAGTTTTTAAATGAGTGTGACAAATATGCAAACAATTAAAAAAACAGGAAGGGGGCAACAACTTTTTCACACCACTATGTATATATAATAAAAAAGATTTTCAGTTTATAATATATATATATATATATATATATAGATGGATAGATAAAATATTAAGTAATGTAGATTTAGTACAAATCTATATTACGGTTTAAAGGTTATATTGATATTTAAATGTTACAAAAAAAATGTTGTTCAGTAAATTCAATTTGAAATAAATGTTGTTCTGTTTAACTTTCTATTTCTCAAAGAATCCAGAAAAAACACTATAACATAACATAAGCTGTTTTCAATATTGATAATAAAATTATTTCTTTCTTGAGCACCAAATCAGAATGTTAGAATACTTTCAGAAAAATCTTGTGACATGTGACAGTCTGGAGTATTGGCTGCTGAAAATTCATCTTGATATAAATGACATTTTAAAGTATGTTAATATAGAAAACAGCTATTAAAATGTTTAATAATATTTCATTTTTTTACTGTTTTTGCTCTATTTTTTTATTAAATAAATGCAGCCTTTGTGAGCATAAGAGACTTCTTTCAAAAACATAAAAAGTAGTGTATATTTTTATTTATAATTTATATACAAGTCTTTTTTTATGGCTCCACTAATGGTGAAAGTTTATGCACTGTTAAAAATCAAAAGTTGAGAAAACTTAAAATTGTATAAGTTTTCTCAACTTTTTGTGGTATAAACTGAATACAACAAGTTGAGAAAACTCAAAAATCTCCTGAAGCTGGTTGCCTTAAACTTTTACGTTTTCTCAACTTTAGATTTTTTTTACAGTGTGGCCAAACAATGGAGGCAAAATGTTTTGTAATTATGTTTAGCACAGAAATTAAGCAGTACAATTCCTGATCCAACTGCATTTTTTGCGCTTCTGTGACAGGTGAGAGAACTGGAGCCCTTATTGTGTCAGATGGACCACAATTCTCTAGTGATCTGGACATCCTCCAGTAATGCCCAGCGATCAGCTTTTAGTCTAGATGACATACAGCATCAGAAAGGCCGTGAGCCCTACAGCTCCTCGAAATATGCATCTGATCTACTTAGCTTAGCCCTAAACCGTCACTACAACAACCGTGTAAGTTCACAGTTCTCTACAAAAAATAGTTTATTGCATGACATGTTTTATACCGAAATTATTAATGATTATCATAATTGTGATTTAGTCATGAATTTTAGTGATCTGTTCACAGGGTTTGTACGCATCAGTGATCTGTCCTGGTCTGGTCATGACTAACCTCACCTATGGCATTCTACCATCATTCTTCTGGACTCTCATCATGCCAATAATGTGGCTTGTAGGTCCTCAATTTACTTCATTTGGAATATCAACACAATAATAGAAAAGTTACACAAATTTAACATTATGTTAATGTCCTGTCCTATCTCATCAGATAAGGATTTTCACCAACACTTTTACCCTCTCACCTTACAATGGAGCAGAGGCTTTGGTAATTACCAGCACCATCACAGACGTTCATATAGCATTATCAAGTTTAACCATGAATTGTACTCCATGAATTTTGAACTTCTGAATTGTTCAACGGTGAATCTGTAAATGTCGCATAGTACAGGGAATGGAAAAAATAAGTCGAGATGTGAAACCACTTTGATTCTAATAGTTTTTGAAGCTTTAGTGTTGCATGTCAGTTGGAGAAATGACTCAGTTCATTCACGGTTGTCTGGGCCTCATTGCTTTCTCCTAGTCTCAGTTTTCATCTATTGTTTTTATTACACAGTTTTGGCTGTTCATGCAGAAACCTGAGTCACTGGACTCAATGGCCAAATACCACAGTTTGACCTCTGGGCTTGGAAACAATTACACCCAACCACACAAGGTCAGAACTGACAATCAGGTTCTCTCACTTATCTGCCAATCTATGCCAATTTTAGTCTATTTTAAATCCAATTAATAATAGGCTTCCATTCTAGTCTATAGGGTTTATATGTTTTGTGATTTGCTTAATTATACAAAGACTTTCATGTTTTTCAGCTGTTGATCTTGTTCGTACCATTCATTACTGATACTGTCCATAATTGAATTGCTTTTTGTGTGTTTTCAGATGGATATTGATGAAAACGTGTCAGAGGCCCTCTATGTGAAGCTATTAGAACTTGAGGATACAGTGCGGAAGAAACTGAGAGACGAGGATGTAGATATAAAAGCAAAAAACTAAATATGGACACAAAACCTCATGCATTCTATCGCTTTATAACACATTTCCATCTTGAAATATTCTCTAAGGAATGGATAAAAACCTCATGAATATTTATTTTTCTTAATGATCTTTAGAAACACAATATGAAATGATTATGATAATCTAGCTTGGCTATAAACCACATCACGTTCTTCACTTATGTATTTACAAAAAAGTAATTTTATGCAGTTGGCAGACACTTTCATCCAAACTGACTTGCATTGCATTTAAGGTGCACATCAGTTATTGCTTTCCCTGGCAATCGAATGTACGACTGGCTTTGCTATCACCATGCTCTACTGTTTGAGCTACTTATAAGTATTGTGCAATTTATATTGGTTTTGTGCAGTGCATTCCAAGTTGAATGGTTTTTAGCTCTGTAGTCAGTCTCTGATGAAAATGGGACCACAAATATGTCATGTATTTTTAGCTGTTTTTAATGTCCGTTTTATTGTGCCCCCAAAGGGGCTTCTTCCAAAATGTTCTGAATAATAAATATATAAATAGTATGGTGTCACTGCTGAGTGATTTGGGCCAAAATCAGCACAGGCTGTGAAAAAGGTAACTAAATCTGCTCTTTCCAGTGAATAAAAATTTGTCTGGAACTTTGTTTACATTTTATAATGAATAATTCACCCAAAAAGTATAAACTCTTTATAGTGTTTGTTTTAAGATTTCAATTGATCTTTCTTCCTACAAAATAAATAAATAAATATTGCAATACATTCGCAGTAGATACATATGTGCAACTGAGACTTTCTTTTACAATCTATTCTTTTTTTCTGTGTTAGCTCTCAAAGTACAAAGCAAATGCAACAAAGTAATATTAAGTGCCTTGTAACAATTTATTTAACTACATAGCATGAAATTAATATACATATCAGAAACTAATGGTTGTAATAGGCTACTCTGGGTGAGAGTTGGCAATGTAGGGAGATTGCAGATATTGATGGGTCGCCATGGTGACGAAGATCATAAAGATGCACTTCCCTGTGTTAATAAAGAAACGTGCATGATGAAACCAACTTGACTTTGTATGCTTTGTTAATAAGTTTAGAGATTTTTGAGTACATGTAATACGACGACTTGTCAGTCTTACCTTTGTCTTGACGCTGGAGTCCTCTGGTTACACGTGCAGATGATTGGGTAACTATGAAAATAACTCTAATGAAGCTGGAGCATACTTTGTGAGGTTTTCTTTAAACTTCACAGTATGTATCCACAATATAGGATGATGAAGCGATGTGCGTGTCGGTTGATCCAGCAATTCGTGGCTGGTTAAATCGTGTATGTAGCGGCTGAGTTGTTTCCACATCTTCAGGATCCGCAAAGATTTGTTGCAGAGGGACTTGAGAAAAACTGCTCGTGTCCCACTCTGATTGAAGCCGTTGAAGCCAAAAGACTCAATCATCGCCTCCGTCACCACATTCGGCATCCTTGCTTTCTACAAATACATAAACCGTGAACTGGTCAAAGTCCATTTAGCTGAATGCCCGTGAATCACGGTCGTCTTCAGTCCTCCTGCGCGCTTGAGCATCACAGTTGAATTGCTTCGGTCTTTATGACAGTTCAAGGAAAGTTTCGCACTTCACTATGAAGCTTTGTCAATACTAAAGAGAAATTAGATTGTTGGCTACACTGATGTTAACGGTATGAGTGAGCACGTGGAGAAAAACACTGTTTTAAACTAGTATTTAATTTGACCCCTTGGCGTATTACTGTCAGAAAATATGAGCATTAACAGGATCAGTTCTCACAAATAAAGTATTTGTGGTGGAAATTGTGATAATTGGACACTGACTTACTTGTTTTGCTTGCTCTAAGGATGATTTCATTGCTAAAGTAAGTACAATTAAATAACATTTTTACACTTTTTGAATAACTTGAATGACACACAATAAATATACTTTGATATTTCCTCACACATCAGGGATTATTTTAGACAAAATGGTTCTTTGTTGATTTTTCTGTATTCCATTATTTCAGGCAAACCGCATCAAAGTTCATTTAGAAGCTTGCTTGGTGCACACCAAGGTTTCTTCACTCTTAAACTGCACTAACAGCGTAATTGCGCCAATGTTTTATTTCAACCAAACCTGCCAAGTGTGAACACACCCTTACACAACCCCAAACCTGTATGACTTCTGTGTAAAAGAGGAATTCTGAGAAATTTCTCAATATTTTCCATACAGTGGAAGTCAATGTTAACCAAAATAATGATGACGTAAGTGTGAGTAAATTTTAGGTGAGCATGAGTCTGGGACAAGGGTAAAACAATAATAATGCATACATAAAAATCCTTTTCAAGTAGTAAATAAAAGATAAAAGCAACGAAAAAAGTTTTTAAGATCATTTTTATGTGATCATGATATAATTAGGCTTACTTTGTTCACCTGGTTCTGGTAGACAAATAGGCCTGTAACAACATCATCAACCTATCCTACTTTAGCCTACCCTATTCAGACATGTCTATAATTAAACTGCTAAGAGAATTCAAGCTTTGCACCCAATAATTAACTTGTTACAGGACACATTTTTGTCACAAAGATTGCTGAATGCCTGCTTTGATAGGGTTACTCCAGTAGTCCAAAGCTAATTTGAGCTGTTTAGAAGACCAGTCATGGGGTCATATGACCTGACACATGACCTTGCAAGGGGTATTAGGGGTCTGTGTCAATGAGTAAAACACTTTTTTTATACTTTGTTAAAAAGGGTGCTTTACTCTTCTATTTTAAGTTAATTCATTGACAGTTATAACGTTGACACTAATAAAAAAATTAAGTGAAATATTTATTTTTATAAATCTTTACGTAATCTTCTATCTACAGTAATAGATCATTTTAATACAACGACAATACAAAATCCAATCTAGCAAATAACAATGTTGAGTCAGTTCGCTCTCTCTTCTCTCTGGAGTATATTGTGCGACTACATGTCCCATACGACTTTGCGGCCAGAGTCCCGGATGTCTTTTACGCCGGAAGAGAAGCGCGAGTCTTTTCCAGCCATCTTGTGGCATCTCGCAGCGAAGTGCTCGCTCAAGCCCCGTAGAATCGGAGGAGAATCCTGCTGAAAGGGGGCCATCATGCCCGGACATCTGCAAGAAGGTTTCTGCTGTGTCGTAACCAATCGGTTCGAGCAGCTATTTGATGATGAAGAGGATCCGTTTGAGCTGTTAAAGCAGGCAGAAAAGAAGAAGAAGGACGCGACCGCTCCTGGTGCCGCCAAGACCGCAGCGCAGGCTGCAAAGCAGTCCAAAAAGGAGTCACAGAAAGAAAGAAGGAACCCAGCTCCCGAGACGAAGGAAGAGACACAAGCTCCCGTTCCTCTCAAGAAAGATGGTAAACATCGCTTGCATTGAACTCCTCATTTGCTCACACTTTTCCTAAGTGAGTAACGTTCGTCTGCAAAAGCAGCTACTAAGCCCATGAGGTCACGCACATCACTATTGTTGATGAACTGCCTGACATCTCAAAAACTTCCAGCGCTTTCAGCAAATATGCTTTTTCGCGCCGTACATTGTTTCTGTGTGACGCACGTTAGTGGAACCTGTTGCTGCTTAACTTTAATTATTTTCTAGATCCTTCATGAACTGCAGGCCTAATGATAACCATCAGTTTGTTTGTTAAATGTCGGGTATATTTGTGCATTTAACTCAACATACTAGTAAAAATGTCCCATTCAGTGCTAAAAAAAAACTGTTTATTGATAGTCTCCGAATGCACAGTCCGTTATCGCATGGGGTTTTATCAGCGTCGAGCAGCAGTGCAGCTCCAACCTCGTGTTTGAGGCAACAGAGTCCGTCCTCGCAGACATGACACTCCCATTGAAAACCCTCCTATTGTTATTCGCTCAACGCCGGTTTTTAACTTAATTACGTGCTTTAAATTTGCGCCGGTCTGAACTATTCTGAAGGTAACGTAGGGCTGTCAAAGTTTTTTTTTTCGGGTGTCAGTGGCCCTGACTGATCTGGATGAGAGGAGGCAGCGGCTCGTGAGCCGGTGCGCGCACGCGGGCGGGCGGCGGGCGCGTGCGTGATCAGCTGTTGTGTCGCGCGAGAGCGTCTGTTTCTGTGGGTGGAGGGTGGGATCAGTCGAGAGGCGCAAACCATTATAACCGAGACCCACAGCGTGGGGTTTATTGCTTTGCTAGTGTGAAAACTAAGTATAGAAAAAAAAACAGGAAACTAGACAACTTTAAGCCCTCCAGCTGAAGTAGTAATAGAATAATAGTGTGTATTTACATCGTTCTTCCCTTTCAGATAATTTCGGTATCGTCCATTTTTAGTTAAAAGGATAGTGTTTCTAGAAATTAAATATATTAACATCCTCGTGTTGTTTTAAAGCTTTATGAGATACCCCTTACGAAAATTAACCATGGTTTCATTGTAGTAAAAAGTGTAGTAACCATGTTTTTTTGGCGTATTGAGTACCATTTGTATAACCAGTTTTACTTCAGATACCATGGTTAAGCTATTGTTAGTTTAGCAAAACCATGGTTAATTTGTGGATACCATGGTTTAACTATAGTAACCATGTTTTTTGTTGTTTAATTTGTAGTAAAACCATAGTTAATTTTCGTAATGGACTATGAAGTTCACTTTTTTTAATAAAAGTGATTGGTGGCAGATTGTGTAATTCAGCCTGTAAAGTTACACTAATGAAAAGAGTAACACTGTTTTGGAGCAATTTTGAGGGTGAGTGAATAATGACAATTTTTGTACTTGTCAAGCACATTAATTGAAGTGAATTTTATATGATTCAGATTGACAACACCTTTTGTTCTAGTGCGCCCCCCCATCTCATTCGTTATTGTTTTCTGTGATGCTTGTTGGTATCAGTGGAGTTGAATCATTATATTGTGTGTTTTGCAGGCATGAGGAAAATGGGCCGCCGACCGGAGCAGCAGGGTCAGCCAGGATCCCAGCCGCAGGGAGGTCAGGGGGAGGGTCGTCCACCAGCCGACAGGCGACCTGACAGGAGGCCACCACGTGAACGACGCTTTGACAAACCCGCTGATGAAAAACCTGCTGAGGGTGGAGAATTCTCAGTGGAGAAGTGAGTCAATTGACTTTTGTTTGTGTGGTAATGCATAGTTGATACTTGAAGTTTTATATTGAAAACATTAAATTCAAACAGAAGGATACTTTTGTTTTTAATGCTTTATTTTTTCATGTTTTGTTTTATTTCAGATAATGTGAAGTCGATGTGAAATGAAAATCACCCTAATTTTAAAAAATGCATGTTATAGATCTTATTGTGAATAATTCTTAGTTTCATTTTGAAAATAATTTTTGAACTCAATGTTCATTCAGAATTTCATAAACTCTTAGTGAAAACACCTGACTTTTCTCTGGTAATCCACTTAAA